ATTGCCTTCAGAAAGGAAAGAGCTGGACATTTTATAAACTTTCAACCCAAAAATTTCAACTCAACTTTTATTTTCAAAGCAAAAATATTATGATTTTGATAAGAATTCAAGGCTACTGGTAAATACACTTAAAATATGATTTGCAAAAGTAATGATATTAATAGTAATATAATTATCAATAATAAATATATTAATAGCTTGAATTTTTCAGAGGATTATACATTTCTACATATCAAGCAATAGGAAAAAATTAACAAGTATTTTCTCTGATTAACTCTTCCAGAACTATCTATAACGGATGCCCAGTGTTTAGATTCCTTGTTCAGAAGTTCTTGAAGTTTGCAACAGTATAAAAAATGGAAAATCTCTGGGTCCAGATGGTTTATCAAGTGAATTTTTAAAAGAATTTAAAAATATTCTTATAACTAAATTTCTATCAACTAGTAATATATTACATCAAGGAGATCTTCTTCCATTACCCAGGCACAATTCTAAAATAACTTTAATCCCTAAATCAAGTAAGGATCCTTTAGAATTAACTCCTTATATGTTTATCTCTTTTCTTAATATAGTTTAGAAATTATATACTGGCCAATCTCCTCAAACTGATTATAGAAAAAAAATTATACATTCTGATCTATCAGGTTTTATTCCAAAAAGAAAATATATCTAGTCTCATTAGGAAACTGCTGAATATTATTTAGCATTGCAAATGAATACATCTTTATCAGTGCGTACATTAGATATCTTTAAGGCTTTTGATTATGTGTAAAGACTGTTTTTAAAACAGGTTTTACAGAAGTTTAAATTTGGCAACCTTTTTTGAATATGGAAGATCAAATATATAATCTTTTAATTAATGCCCAAATAAGAATAATTATGATTGAGAACAATTTCTTAGTCTGAAGAGATGTAGGCAAGGATATCCACTACAGTATTTCCTTTATTATTGAACTTTGTTATCGAAACATTAGTGTTTGCACTTCGTGGCAACAAGGAAATTAAAGGAATAAATGTAGGAGACAAAGCCTATTTATTAAATATATTCATAAATGATACTGTATTAACTTTTTCAAATCCAAGTAACTCAGCAAAATACATTAGGATTGAGATGGAAGGATTTGCAGAAATATCAGATTTAACAGTAAATTTTCAATAGTTACAACTGACATTCTTCCATTCTCATCCTAAAATACAGAAGAGGTATCTAATACTTCAAATACATTAGCAGAATATAAATATAATCATCTAGGTATAAATATTACAAAAAGTGTTGATAAATTATTTAATTACAACTGTACAATATTCAACCTTGAAAGATCACAGCTTATTCTATAAACCATGTAATAAGAGTTTGTGTCCAAAATAAGTTGTCTTGGTGTACATGGCTTCAACTCAAATATTTTTTGAATAAGAAGAAAGTAGGAGATTCAGCATTTTACTGCTTAACAAATTTTGAGAAATTAATAATTAATTAACCCTTCCAATCTAACTGAACAATCTTGAAGATATATATAATGTTACTGGAACAGGAGTTAGGCAATATCCCTGGAAGTTTAAAAGAATCTTGGGATATAAAGTTAGATAAATAAATGGAAGATATGAAATGGCAAACACTTTGGGAATCAGATGGGTTTTTTTTATCAACTTCTATACAAAAGTTGGAGCAAATATGTGAGAAAAGTTGCACCTTTCTGAAAGAAACTATTCAAAGAAGTATTATAACTAAACAAACAGTAGAATGTGTCCCAGAATTGCTATTATTATATACCTTCAAAGGAGCGAATACTAAATTACATAATAAGGAACTTATTTGGTAGCTAAATTAATAATTAGTTAACAGTGGAAGTTGGTAGGCAATTTAGGAATTGAGAAATGGTATAGGAAGACATAGTCAACTGTTCTTGCAAAGGTTACTGATAAAATTCAAATATAAAGTTCACAGAGCTGCATTTTTATCAGGTTGGGAATGATTACATCTACTATATTAATAAAAAACAATCACTCTAATTCTGGCAGATCTTGAGATCTGTGGCAACTGTGAATGAATTTTTATTTATTGGGTTTTTTATTTTTAAAAATAATTTTTATGGCCTCCCATCTCACAGCAGTGACTGTGGGTGGTATACAAATATTAAAACTACAGGTGAAACTCGAAAAATTAGAATATCGTGCAAATGTTCATTTATGTCAGTAAGGCAACTCAAAAGGTGAAACCAATATATGAGATAGACACATTACATGCAAAGCGAGATATGTCAAGCCTTACTTTGGTATAATTGTGTTGTTTATGGCGTTGTTCAGGAGCCATAAGACAAGAGGAATACGACAT